ATCTCTCTCTCCCAGTCTCCCCACTCAAGGCACTCTGCTCCATCTGCCTGCCCTCCATGGAGCTCACAGAGAGGATTCCCTCAATGATTTACTCAGAAAACCGTCTACCCTAACTACCAATGAGGCTACTGCAAGGATGAAAGTGTTTTGTATAGTGCCATGAAAAGTGTAGCTGTTGCTGTTTATCAACATCATTGTTGTTATCATCATCATCTTCTTCACAGCAAGGCCTATCCAGCTGGTGTGATGGGGTTAGCATAACTTCGGCCAGGGTGTTCAAAAAATGCCCAGCCTTTTTTTTTCTCCCTAAGAACAAGGTTCCTTTGCATTTTGTTTTATCTTCGGACTAGAAAGACCTTCTCAAATTGGCCAGATTTGTCTCTCAGCAAACCTAGTCATAGTCCCAAAGATCTAGGGGTTCACACTGCTGTAGTTCTGTTGCCCGCATTTCAATCTGTATCCCAAGAAAGGATTGATGAGCTAACTGACCACTGGATTCTCTCTCCCACACTCTCCTGATATAATCCTAGTTGGGTCCCTACTCTTTTATTTAAAGAATGTACTTCCCTCCCATAGACCAAAGCATCCATCCTTTCCAGAGGGGGTAGAAAGAAAGGTCTCAAGTGAGGCTTGAGAGGAGGATCTCCTCTCCCTTGAGCCAAGACTCCTTTTGGGTCTTTTTCACAGGTCCGCTGTATAAAGAAAGCCTACAATCCCTCTTCCTAGGGGCTAGGGAGGAACACAAGCAATGATCTCAGACTCTTTTTACCCTTCTAAGGGTGTCCACAGGGCACTGGTGGTTCAATGGTAGAATTCTTACCTTCCATGTGGGAGATCTAGGTTCAATTCCTGGCCAATGCATCTCATGTACAACTACCACCCATTTGTCGTGGAGGCTTGCAAGTTGCTGTGATGCTGAATATATTTCAGCACAGCTTCCAGACTATGTGGACTAGGAAGAAAGGCCTGGCAATCTACTTCTGAAAATCAGCCAATGAAACCCTACGGATCACAACAGTGATCCATTGTGCATGAAGTTGCCATGAATCAGGGGCAGCTAACAACAAGGGTGCCCACACTGTCTCACTACTGGGCCCACAACCTTGTCAAGCATCTTGAGGTGGGGTGGCTGATGGGGGCCATTTCCAGGTAAATCAGACCTCCATCCCAGTCCCAATTCCTGGGCCCTGGCCCAGAACCTGTGCTCCTCAGAAATACATTTCCCTGCATCTCTTCCTCTAGAGCTTTCCCTCCAAGGCCACAGACACTAAGCTGGGAGCCAGGGATGTGGAGGATGGAGGTTTCTTATCCACCCCCCATCCTCACCTGATGTCCTGGCCCTCCCTCTCTGACACTAATTGGTTACCTTGGCAAGAAGTTCCTTAAACTGTATGATGACTTGAGGTGGTGAGAGGCAGAGAAAGAGCCAAAGGAGCCAGCTCTGCCGCAAAGAATCCACAGAGCCCCTCAGAATCATAGCAGGGCTACCCAGAGTCCCTATCCTCTGCTGGTACACATCCTAGCATATAAGGAGAAAACTTTACAGCCCAGGAAAATGTTCCTCCATCCCCCTATTCTCACCCCACCCCACCCTACCACACCGCACCCCTGGCACTGACTCCCAGATTTCTTAGCTTCCAAAGTCTCTAGCCAGTACTTTCTTGTCCATGGGTGGGGAGATCTTGCTGCAAGGAGATCTTGCTTAGTCCAAGGCAAATAAACAAAAAAGTCAGCTACTAACCATGGAGCAAGTGGATATCAGAAGACGTGATGTGGACTCTCTTCCAGTACCAGATTAGAAGTCATCTCTTCTAAGAAGCTGTTCTTAACTAGCCAGTCTCCCAGCCCCATGTCTCTCTCTCTCATGCACACACTCTGCTGACCATTTACTCACTCTAGGGCTTACACATCCTCTCGGTCATTCATTCAACAAGTATTTAAGAGCTTCTGCTATGCTGTAGACCTTGTACAAGGTCCTAGGGATACAGCCGGGAGATAACAGGGCCTTGCCTCTACAGAGCTCACAGTCAACATCTTATACTATGTCCTTCTACACTCACATGTTCATCCCTTTAATAACTACCCTGATTTTTCTATTTTCATTCTGGCTCCCCAATGTGTGGTGAGCTCTCTGGTTGCTGGTGGGGTACAATTTGCTTTTATCTCCTTCTACCTAGGGGTTGTCCAAGGGTGGAGACCTTGAGTCTGTTAATGCATATCCTCACTTGACACTAAACCTGAAGATTTGGGGTCCCTCAGCCTCCTATGTCACCCCATTGGTTTCTAAGCCCAAACTACAGTAAACAGCTCCCAGCACCAGTCTTCCAAGGACTCTGGAGTTTACCCTTGCCTTTCAAGGCCAAGGAGCAGAGGAATGGGTGGGGTCTGAGGATGACAGCAGGAAGGTACACTTTCTGTTGTACACTGGAGAAGGTGCACAGGCACCAGATACATGGCGTGCTTTCACGTGTCTGTGTGCTGTAGTCATGCATGTGCACACATGTTGGCAAGTGTCCGTGGCTTCTCCCAGATTGGCCACTGCAGGGTGTGTGTGTGTGTGTGTGTGTTTCCACGTATGAGCGTGAGTGAGCATGTGTTGAGGGAAACGGGATTTTAGGGGTATGTCTTTATGTGTGTTTTTTTCCAAATGCTTGGTTTTTTTCACAATGGCTTCGAGCACTACTGTCATTTATGGGGTTTAAAATGTCAGAATAGGGCCCGCGGGGAGGCAGGGGAGATTAAACTGCAAACAGTGAAGGTTATGGATGACGTTTCTGATAGGCTGACAGGCGAACTCAAATGATACTGCACTTTAGCAATCATTTTAAACACATGCGCGTGCACACACCCACACACACACCCACACACACACACACACCCACACCCACACCCACACACACACCCACACACACACACACCCGCACACCCCAGTTCATCTCTCCATATGTCAATAGCATATTCTTAAGGCTAAAAAGATAAAAACCCATGTCTAGAAAACCACAGCTCTGCTTTCATAACCTAGCCAGAAGTTTTCTAGGGTATGTATGTGTGTGTTTACTCACTCAAATTCACCTACTTGTGCAAGGTGAACACAGGTGTTTATCTGTACTTCGTGTAGGTTAATTCCACCTTACTTTTATATAGTGCCCTATATAGTTAACAAAATACATCTCACCCAGTAGTTTACCTGAGACTCAGAGTTTTTATAAAGTAGGTAGGGTAAAGATTATCTCCGCTTTACAGATACAAGGAAACAGAAGCTCAGAGAGGTCCATTGGGTTACAGTACCCAAGACCACCCAGCTAGAAAGTGACAAAGCTAAGGTTAGAACCAGGTTTTTTTTTTTTATACTTATCCAGAGCTCTCTTCTTGAGGCCGTGGTTCTCAACACTGGCTATATATTAGAATCACCTGGGGAGCTTTTGGAACCCACCAGAGCCTTGGTCCCACCCCCAGAGATTCTGATCCAATTGTTCTGGAGGTGGTGTCTGTTATGTGTTTTTAAAGCCCCTGGGTAATTCTAACGTGCTTGCTCTGGCAGCACATGTACGAAAATTGGAACGATACGGAAAAGAATAGCATGGCCCCTGAGGAAGGATGACGTGAATTCGTGAAGTGTTTCATATTTTTTGGAGCCCTGGTGGCACAGTGGTTAAGAACTCAGCTGCTAACCAAAAGGCTGGCAATTTGAATCTACCAGCCACTTCTTGGAAATGATATGGGACAGTTCTCCTCTGTCCTATAGAGCCGCTATGAGTCAGAATCAAATTTGGTTTTTGGTCTGGGTAATTCTAACACGCAGGCTGGTTGAGAACCACTCCTCCAGGGCTTGATGATGTCAGGCAGGAGCTGTGCATGGGGTTGTTCCCCAGGTGTCTGATTACCCTCAAACCACCTCCAAGTGAATGTGGATTCCAGTCACTTTTCTCCTCTACATCTACTTCCTGGGAAGACTTACTTCCCAGGAGGACCAGATCCCCTATTTCTTCTGGACGCTCCAACTCCCCACCCCCTCCCTAACTCTGGAGACTTAAGAGGGTGCTCAGTTCATACTGGTGAATGAAGAGCCTACTGGTCCAAGTGACTCACAGTTGTGGCCACCCCAGGAAGGGACACAAGCCAGACTTTGGATGGAGGAGGAGGAGAACAAGCTCCACCTAGCCCTGTCAATCAGGAAGTGAGGAGCAGCTGCCTTGCTGACCTAGGGTGAAAGGAATGAAAGAGACAGAAGGAAAAGAAAGGAGACGAGGAAAGTTGGCCATTTTGAAGGTTGCATTGACCACCTCACTGCTAAAGCCCATGGACAGTGCTCCTCTCACATGGGCCTGCAAGATAGGTGGCATAGGACAGTCTTTAGGAGCACAGACTTGGTAGTGGCCTACCTGGGCTTGAATCCTGGGCTTTGCTTACTAGTTGTGTGACTTTGGGCAAGTACTTAGCATCCCTGTACCTCAGTTTCCTTTTTTAAATGGGAATGATTATAATAGTACTTACCTCCTAAGATCGCAGGAAAGATTCAGGGAGTTGACATAAAGCATCTGATACTTTATAAGTACTGGGTAGGGGTCATCATTATTCTGCAGCATTTGATGCTTTCGAACTCTTCCTTCCTAAAACTTTCATCTCCCTTTGCTCCACAACACCTCTCTTTCCTGTTTCTCTTCCTATCTTCTAGGACACTCCTTCTCAGTCTTCTTTGCTAGCCCTGATCCTCTACCCTCCCTCTGAGTCATTGGTTCTCAGCCTCAACTGCACATTAGAATCACCTGTGGAACTTTTACAGCTCACTCCATAGATTCCGATTTAATTGGTCTGGGGTGGGACCCAGCCACTGATACTTTTTTCAAGTTCCCCAGCTGATTCAAACGTGCTGCCAAGGCTAAAAGCCACTGTTCTCACTGTTGATACTCCCTAAGACTCTACTCTTGCCCCCTTTCCCAAGTGATTGCCTCCTTCCCATGGCTTTAATTACCATCATCTGACAAGACTTCTCTCTTGAACTTCAGACACGTATTTCAACACCCTACCAGATTTAAGAACTATCTATGTGGGATCAAATTGACAACAGCAACTTGAAAGATAAGATAGGAACCTTAGGGGGCAGTAAATTTATGTTAATGGAGGAGGAACAACTCAGAAAAGGAGGGTGAGAATGGTTGCACAACTCAGAGAACATAAACAATGTCACTAAATGGTACATGTAGAAACTGTTGAGTAGGTGTATGTTTTGCTGTGTATATTCTCAACAACAAAATAAATCAAACTAAAAAAAAAAAACCCAAAAAACCCTACCAGACATCTCAATTTTGAAATGTATGATAAGGAAGTTATTCTTAATACTCTTTTAACCTCCTAGATATCTTTATTTAGATGTACTCCAGGCCCCTCAAGTACATATCCCAAACAGAACTCAACATGTTACCCGTCCCCTAAAACTATTCCACCTTTTCTATTCCTCATCCCTGTCATCATCCAACCATTTACCCAAGGTAAGAACCTGGTGGTCATCTGGGAATCCTCCCCCTTGATCGTCTCCCACATACAGTAAGGTACAAAATCCTGTCAACTCTCTCTTTCTCTTAAGACTCTCTTGAGTCTGTCACCTCCTTGGTAACCCCACCAACACTTCTATAACTCAAGTTCTCATTATCTTTCACCTGCACAGTTGTAAGAACCTCCTCACTGATCTCCCAACCTCCAGTATTTTTTTTTGCTGTACCCTTCCTCCATTCTCCATATCATCCTCAGAGCTATTTTTCTGAAATGCAAATCACTCCACTGCAAAAGCCCTTCAGTGGTCCCTCAGCTTTCAGAATAAAAGCCTGACTCCTGGATAGCCCTTTACTATCTATCCCCTCCCACTGGCCTCTCTTCCAAAGTGACCTCCCCAACCCACCCTCTGTACTTCAGCCAAGTTCTCCAAATGTGCCAGGCTGATTGACATTTCAATGCCTTTGCATATGTTACTCCCCCTGCCTTGAATGCTCTTCCTTCTCTTCCCCCTTCCATTCTGCCCACACTTACAAATTAGCTTGACGCACTACCCCTCTATGAAGCCTTACCTGACTCTTCAGGTCAAGTTGACCACTCTCTCATTTTGTCCCCACAATACCCTGTAGTTATCTCTATTATGTTATCTTTCCCTCTGTATTTGTATTTCCCTCTGTTTTCATGCCTATCTCCCCCACTGGACCCTAATAGCTGGTCACTTGGAAGTCAAATACCGTGTCTTAATTGCCTTTGAATTCCTGATGCCTAATACAGTACCTGGAGCCCTTGTGGCGCAGTGGTTAAGAGTTTGGCTGCTAACCAAAAGTTTGACAGTTTGAATTCACCAGCCGCTACTTGGAAACCCTATGGGGAAATTCTACTGTGTCCTATAGGGTCGCTATGAGTCCGAATAATCGACTCAGTGGCAACGGGTTTGGTTTTTGGTTTAATACAGTGCCTTATGCTCAATAAATATTTGTTGAACAAATAGTTAATGAGTAGAGGAGGGACAAGGGAGGAGATCCCAGGCTCTAAGTCCTGTCATGAGTTTACAGACTGTTGGGTTCCCTTAGCTAAAGTGCTTGGTTAAGAATGCTTAAGCTTATGGCTCTGGATTTTGAAGGGTAGCCCTCACAATTGCTTCCTTCCTCCTGGAGCCAAGGCAGAGAGCCGGGGTGTGAGGGAAGAGACTCACATCTGCCACTGGCCAGACACTGTCCCCTGTGCTTCTCCCCTGGGTCTACCTCTGTGAAACTGGCTCACCAGGTGCCAGAACTGGAAGCTCTGACAGCCAGAACACCTGACGCCCCTTCCTGACCTGACTTAGATGAGGAGAGTCTTCTTTCCCCTCTTTTATCTGAGATCATGTTGGAATGCCTCCAAAGGAACCTTCAGACAGAAACCAAGAAAAACTAAAAGCAAGCAAACAGACCCACAAACACTTTGAAATAAATACAGAAACGGACATAGTACAGATGTCTGATTCTAGCTTGTCACCCTGCCTAGAGGGAGTACAGTCAAGAGTCACCTTCTAGACATTCGAGGGGCATCTTCTGTCCCCTCCCTCAGTCAGGAAAGGAGCTGGCAGTATCCTCGTCCCATCCCCAGCAGGTGGGGCAGCTGAAAAGGTGCAGTTCTCACAGCCAGGGAAATTGAAGTAAGACCCTCATCTTCCACAGGAGTGAAAGGCCAAGGCCATCAATGGACTGGAGCATTAGGCAAAGTCAGGGATCCAGAGAATAACCCACAGAAAGAATGTGGTCTCCAGGACACTCCAGGCAGTGTTTGTCTCCTTTATGGCTGAATCCACAGGGCCTGACCCTTACTTGCCAGTATTCCTAGAGCCCTTGTCATATGTCAGCACTTTACCAAACACTAGATTAGTTCATATAATCCTCACAACAACCCTATGAAGTAGAGCCTATTATTATTCCTGTTACAGATGAGGAAACTGATTCTCAGAGAAAGGCTAAGTAACTTTCCTAAGGCCACAAAACTGGTAAGTGGCTAAGCCAGAATTCAAAGTCAGACAGTCTGACCCCAAAATCCCAGGCTCTTAACATCCGTGGTGTACTACCTGAAGCACATGGCAGGTAATTGAATATTTGCTAAAGTAATAATAATAGCTAACATTTAACAAAGTGCCAAGTGCTGTGTTAAGCACTTTATGTACCTTTTTTTATTCAGTAAGTAGGTACTATTATTATTCCTATTTTAAAGATGAGGACACTGAAGCTTAGAGAGGTTAGGAGCCTTGTCTAGGGTCCTAAAGCTAACAGGTAAAAGAACTGGGCGACAAGCCTAGGGGGATGGATAAATGAGTGACCAGAGGCGCAGACAACTCCTCCCTGCCTCCACTACCATTCCAGGGAATGTCCGTGAAGGAAAAAGAAGCCCTCTCCAGGAGCTCTGACCAGGTACTGATACCCTGATCAAGGATGCCCTGGGCTTTTATCACATGCTCTGGCAGAGGCGGCACCAGCCTAGACAGCTGGGTTGTGCTCCCACGTGACCTTGGATGGCTAAACCAGTTCCCCCCTTTTTTTCCCTAGGCCTCTCCAGAGCACCCTCTCACCAGCTGTATCCATTCACAATACTCTGGCACTTTGGAATCTGGCTGGGTTTGGGTCCCCTAACATCCAGAAAATCAAAGCCTCCAGGACCCTTCCCTAAGCAGGAATTTTTCCTATCTCCCCTGTGGATCCTTTGGTTCCTGAGTCTCTGGCTTTGGCATCCCTGATGGGAAGAATCCTTTCAGAGAGAAAGAGAGCCATCCTGGTACCTAAGAAAAGAGGGAGAGAGGAGGGGAAGGAGTGATTTCCTAGCCTCCCCTCCTCATCTCCTCACCCTTCCCCAAAGCCTTGTAGGCCACCCCACCCCCACCCTATCCCCACCCCATAGAGTTTCTCACCTTCAGGCAAAGGCAGATGATGGCAGAGCTGGGGAGCAGCACTTAACTGAACCTTCTGGCACAGCAAATCCCCGTCATTAGTATTTAGGAAATGTGAGCCCCAGAGGATGAAGGAGGGAAAGAAAGGCTGGGAGAGGGAGGTCAAGATGCTCAGAGATGCAGAGAGAAAGATGGAGACAGTGACCTGGAGGGGTTGCAGAGAGAGACAGAAGAGGAGGGAGTGAGGGAG